GGGGGCGGGGAGTCTCGACCAGCCTGGGACCTATGAGTTTGTTTGCCTAGAGCCCACTAACAGGTTCATCCAGCCCTTGACTCTGCAGCAGCAGCATAGGTCTATGGGGGGAAAGAGGCTCTTGTAGATTAAAAGCCCTGACAGCTCCCTGCACAGTGCTACACTCCCACTCAGATGCCAGGTGGCACTGCTCCTCTCTGCCTGTCCTTCAACATCCAGCCTTGTTCAGTTACTTAGGTTTTTATGGACACTTCTAGGGGGGGGTTGTTCTGTTTTCTTTTGTTTTTACAAACTTTAAAGAGGCATCATTAGCTCTTTTTTACAGCCACAAGCACTATCACAAATCATTTTTATTTAAAACATTATTCCATATTGAAAGGTGAAGATTCTGCCACTTCACCACATCTGATATCATGGAGAAAGGTCTATCTCTGTATATTCTCTGCAGGGGCAAATCATGGAACTCAAAGGCTGGATCCAGATGTGTAGGCACGTGTGATTTGTGGCACCACAAACCTCTTTGCAGCACCACAGACTGCATGCCCACATTGTTAAAACGTGTTCCGTGCTGCAAATTTGCAGATGGGGCATAATTTGTGACCGGGAAATGCCAGTAACAAAAAACCCCAAAACAACCAAAACCAGAAAAAGACTGCGAGAAAAAGCGGTGCAGTGCACACTACAGGAGTGCGTGCCAGCAGACACAGAGGCTCGGTCCTCCAGGGAGATGCTCTGGCTGTTGGCCAGAGTGTCTCCATTCCTTTAGTTTCACTCTGGTTCCTCCAGCATGCTAAGAGCTAGGAGAAATGGGGAAAGGGCAGTTTGCCCAAAGTAGGGCATTTTGTCCCACACAAATTTTGCCACTACTATTTTTACTGCTAGAAGCACACAACCCTGTATGTGGGGACACACTCAAAGAAGCTACCCCAATTTGAACCTGCTGAGGAGCTAGCCATTGTTTAGCGGTATGGCTATTACCACCCCTCAAATTTATACCTGGTATTTGCCTATTATCATGGAAAGTCTGAGGAA